ACGGGCCTCAGTCATGAATCAGGCACACAGCAGCTAAGCCGTTTGGGGTTAGTGCCTTGATCGTTTTGGCCCCTGTTCAAGCATCAAGGACAAGCAAAAATCATTACATATAACCACCAAGAGTCAAGCGCGTTAATATGTGTCGAGATTCTATTTCGAGTCAACCCAGTTCACGCTCTGCTGGTATACTTTCCCGTTGATGGCTTCGCTGAATTACGTTAGGACCCTGCAGCGCGGGATACAAGTCTTCCTATACATATTCCGGTACAGCAACGACAACAACAATGCAGTCAAGGACAATATGTCTCAAGTAAGTCAATGGCAGTTAAGGTCTATCTACTTGCTGGTTTCTTGAATCCAGATGCTGAGATCAATTCCAGCCGATGGACTCCAAATGTCTCAATCAGACATGTAATTACTCACATGACAGCCTAAAACAGGGCCATTCCAGAACACGCGTCTTTTCCTACAATTGTGAACCTTGACCTGCAAGGTAATGATATGCACTAATGTTTCCATTGACGGGCTCACAGTAATAATGTGTCAACTGTCAACTCGTCAGAAATAGCCAGAGAAGGCCAAAGCAATCTGCCAATGCGCTCCAATGGTGTCTTTGCGTAGACAGTCCGTTGTCATATTTACCCTCATTCCTCCAACAAGACATATACATACCCATATTCCGCCATCACAACCGGGTCAAAGCTAGTCAGTGTCCTAGATGTGTGTCCTGGCAGGCTGTCACTCACGAGGTTGTCAGTCGTGATTATGCTGCTCATCGGCCAAGTTGGTGTTAGATACATGCTTAGACCGCAGCATATAGATTTTGCCACGTTACTCTACTTTGGATTGCCGATGCTTAGCTCTATGTATTTTAGCTCTTTCTCGGTATATCAGGTATCAATGGGGACGATAGTAATTGAGAACTTGGATGAAGACCATCCTTCTCCGAGAACTATTAGCCAAGAGCTGATGTCTTACATGAGGCAAGCGAAAGCGCACTGGCTGTAGATGATATACATGCATCAAAATCCGCATAATGATCATAATGCTCTGCAGGTAAGGAACCTTGCATGCAGAACTTGGTCGATTCCTACGATCACGTATCGTATAGCTACTTATTTCGTAGTATGCAAGAAGGAATATATATTGTGCGTCGACTTCCACAATAAACCCCGAAAACACTCGAACTACAGAGGCCAAGCTATCTAGACATATATCACGTTATTCGTCATCTGGCTATATCAATTACAGGATCACAGCTGATCAAACACACGGACCAGAGGGGGAAAAAGTGCAAGCTAAGACTCGATCGCCTTCGCCCTCAATCCCACAATAGTTCCTCCCTCAGCATCTAGTCCCAAAATATAATACTCGACGCGCGATTTGCCAACTTCCACCCGGTAGACCTTAATCTCTACATCTGACTCATCGATGCCAGGCTCACCACCCCCAAAACTCTGCGCGACCGCGGCCCGCACCGCGCGCAGCGCAGCCGAGTACTGGTTCTTAGGATCAAAGGTCGAAGGCGTCAATGTCTCAATGGACGAGGAGAGGTCAGCGTCAGGGGAGATGAGTCGCGAGAATTCGGCTGTGCGAATAAGGCATCGTTAGCAAATGCTTTGTCTTTTCAGGAAATATGACTCTCCGTCGGGATATACCAACCAGAACCGGGCCAAGTTCCCTTATTCGCGCCCTCCCATTTTAATGTTACGGGCTCAAAGGGCTCGTCGGTCTCGGAGATGTAGTATGCATCCACCGATCTGAGTGGAGCGGGGATCTGAACGCCAACGTCGACGGTCTCCGTGCGCACGCCGGACGACTGCTGGGTTTGTGCTGCTCGGCCGTTATTGAGGTCTGCGTTGGCCTTATCCAGGAAGGACATGTAAGCGTCGTCTGAAGACATGGCTCGAGAGATGATGGGACTGCGGCGAGGGTTCGGTGATGGGATGGTGTAGTGGGTGGTTTGGTGGGACGAAACTAGAAGTGTCTGATTCTGCGGAGGAGTTCGGATACGCAAGTGGGAATATGAGCGACGGTGAGAGGCAAGGAAAAAACTTCGAGAGTTTAAGATTAGAGAATGGGTAGAGAGGGCAGCCCGATTTGGTGATGCAGTTGCAGTTGAAGCCCAAACCAGGTTGCGATTAATGACGCAATAGACCCTGCGGCTCAGCTGCCACCGACGCATGGATGCTTCAACAAACGACCAGTGCCTCTTAGAATTGACAAATGGATAAAGAAATGTACGTAAGACAATGAAATATCACATGGCAGAGGCGGACGAAGTGTTGTCTGCAGAAAATGAGACCTAGGAGAGGGTTACAAATTCCAGGAGAGGTTTCGGGAGGCGCAAACTCTTACCCTCAAGCCCTTGGGTCACAACAGTTTATATATAAGTAATTTTGGAGTGTACACTACTTAATTGCCTTGTGGAGACCACTTTCTTTGGAACATCATCAAATTACCTTAAGCTACATGAGGACTTGAAAACAGGCATCACTGATCATTTAGCGGAAGGCGTAGGCTTTGAAGGTATTGTTCGCTTTTTTATTGAAAAAAGTAAGAAGCTGCACTACACCAAACCGACATAAACACCTTAAGCAGAAGTAACAAGGTCCTTCTTGAGGGTACCCATGAATGCACGCTTCTCCTCGGGAGTCTGGAAAGCACCGTGGCCGAACTTGGAGGAGGTATCGATCCACTTGAGCTCAACCTTCTCGGTGGCTCTCCGGCTGGTCTGGGGGTACAGGGTCTTGCGCAGAGTCATAACACGCTTCTTGACACCAGGAACGGAGCCCTTGACCATGACATAGTCGTTCTTGACCTCACCATAGCGGACGAAACCACCCATGCTAAAGTTATTTCATCAGCGATCTTGTTCAATCGAGCAATTCAGTTGACTTGGTACTTACGGAGTAATCTGCTTCTTGGAGATATCGAACTCGGTGGAGGCGTTACCCTCGTCAGAGCCCTTGCCAATGCGGAAGACCTTGTGGTTGCAAGAGGTACGGTGGTGGTAACCCATCTGACCGGCACGGGCAACAGTCCACTGGACGTGGCTAGGATGCCAAGCACCGATACAAGCAACCTTACGCAGACCCTTGTGAGTCTTACGGGGAAGCTTCTTGGTGCCCCAACGGCTGGTGACACCCTGGAAACCGTGACCCTTGGTGACGGCAATGACATCGATCATCTCGTCCTTCTCGAAGATGCTGTCGATCTCAATGGGCTTCTCGAACAGGTTGCGGGCGAAGTCAACCTTGTCGGCAACGGAGCCACCGTTGACCTGGATCTCCATCAAGTGGGCCTTCTTCTGCTTGAGAGGGGTCTTGCGGATCTGGGTGTGGGCGAGGACACGGACGACAGTGCAGTACTTCTTGATGCGCTCAAGCTCACGGGTGACGGAGGCACCGCTCTCCTCAGCGTGCTTCTTGGCGTACTTGGTGAAGGCCTTCTTCTTGCTCTTGTACCAGTTCTTGTAGAAGCGGCGCTTGACCTCGTCGCTCAGGTGCTCAGCCCAGACAGTGGTGAGCGAGCGGAGACCACGGGGAGTCTCGATGTAACCGACAACACCGACAGCAACAAGCTATAGAGAAATAAAGAGTAAGTGACCGCCCAGTTTCGTAACCAACCAAATCCTTGGGTCAATGGACATACAGGAGGAGTCTCGATGATGGTAACAGCCTCAACAATCTCCTTCTTGTGCATCTTGGCACCGGGTCTGTCAAGGTCACGGACGACGGTGGTCATACCGGCCTTGTAACCCATGGAGGCCGTCAGGTGGACAGGCTTCTTGGGGTCATCCTTGGGGAAGCTGTCGCACACTCAGCATACTGTCCTTTTTTTGATCTCGAGATTGAAAATTATAGCGGCTAAACTAACCTCTTGACCTTTCCACGGTGTCTGGCAGCGCGCTTGCGCGGCAGGAAGGCAAGAGAGCCTGTGAGGACGTTGGTCAGTATATGGCACACACACAGAGCGCAGAAATTTCGACGCCATCGAAGGAGGAAAACGAGGTTGACGAACCGTGCCGAGGCGCTTCGTACTTCCGGTGACTCCTGAAAAAATTATAAAATCAGCGATTTTGTTCTTTGACATCTTAATTGATCTGTATTCGAGCGCAAAACTTACATCTTGACCCTGTTGTCGTTAGTCGTCGAAGTGGTGAGTGAGAGTGTCTATCTCCAAGTTTGCCGAAGGTCGTTATTTTGCACGGTTAACGAATGTGGGCTGACCTAAGCGAAGTCTTGGCGACACATTTCCTCTTGCGGATAAGCGACCCTGTGGTGACTAAGGCACTGCAAAACCGCACATTTCTGCCTGAGGCACATTTTGCCCTGACCTTGTCCTCTTCCTGACACACTCCGTACCTGCTATGCCCAAGGGCAAAACTGGTCATATAATGGCACTTATCTCAGCATGGTACAGCTTACCCAACTTCCTTAGTTATATGACCGAGGAGGGTACTATCGAGAGAAAAAATGTCGTAGCATCGAATTTAACTTGATTCAACTACTTGCAACTGCCTACCATATCGAAATACCCACTTCTTCAAGAATACAAAGCTGCGTCTACAACAAGTCAACGCGTTCAACCCAATACCAGAAACAAAACTTGTGTTCTGAAAAAAGATATTGTCATTTCTGAAAGAAGAGTTCTGAATCATGCACAGGGAAATCGAAGGGTAATGGAGATGAGAGAAGATATCAGGACAAAGGGGGGGCTCAAAAGACGGGTACAAGAGAGGACGTAAACAAGTAATAGTTCCTCGTAACTACGACACCGATGGCTTTCATAGAGTACAGACTTGAATGCGTAAGTAACAGCTAGCGTGAATGCCACCGGAAAGGAGAACCATAAAGAAGAAAGGAAAGGGGAATTTTGAAGGGTAAACGAAGGTACGAAAGAATGTTCATGATAGACATCTTCGGAGACATGTTCGCTCGTACAGCGCCACCTTGCAATCATCAGATGAGCTACGCGGACAAGAGAGGATCATGTGCTTAGGCTGCAGACTCCTGTTTCGACTGGGAAGTCTGGGCGCCACTGCTCAGCACCCCGTTGCTGCTGCTGCTGCCGGCAGCAGGACTGCCCTTAGCGGCAGTGCTGGTTCTCTTCTCGTCATCTCCATCATCATCGTAGTTCTCATCGACGTCCATCTTACGCGCAGCAGGCTCGTGGGCTGGAACTTGCTCACTGCGAGCCGGTTCTTCCTTCACCTGCACCTGGGCTGATGGAGCACCTGCCTGAGGCCCGTTGGAAGCCGGAGCAGGGCCCTCGTTCATGGGAGGGAGGCTTGAACCGGTCGCGTGTTGAGGCATGTGCTGAATGGATGGGAGGGTTGGAGGATGGTGAGCAGCCTCTGATGGGTGGTAGCTCTCGTTCACGCGGCGCTGGTCCTCGCGTCGCGCCTCCGAGGAACCACGACGCTGCATCTCGCCAGGCGACGGCATGCGGTTCGGAGGGGTCACGCGGCGAGCGACCTGATCATCCAAGCGGACACGGGTTTCCTCATTGGCAACCTTCTTTGAAGGGCCCGACTCCCCTTCCCATTCCCGACCCCGCTTCATTGCCGAGGTTGGGCGATCTTCACGTTCTCGTGCAGCGGCTTCGGCAGCAGTGATCGCAGAAGCTGGAGCAGGGGCACCACCTGCGATACCAGTGCTGCTAGCCCCCTGAATTGGCACGCTCGGGCCATGATGATACTGCTGATGAGGGTAGGTAGAACCGGGTGATGATGGTCTCTCCTCGCGAATGGGCCGGATCTCTGTCGGCGGGGTGAATGGGCGAGGGTATGGTGGCAGAGGTCCAGCAGAAGCAGGGGCACCGTTAGGCCCAGTTGGTCCTGTGGGGGGTGCAGCAGAAGCAGGAGCGGGTGGCAAGGGTCCGCGAGTAGCGGAGCCGAAAGGAGTGTTACCGGCGGGAGCTCGATCATGTGGCGGCGGTGGTGGGTTGGGCAGTTGGGGCAATGCGTGTGCAGGTGCAAATGCACCAGGGCCCGCAACTGTGGTCTTTGGAGAACGAGCTGCTGGAGCACGCACACCATCAGGGAATGCCCTACCCGGCTCTTGTCGTGGGCTTGGTTGCTGAAGAGCAACTGGTCCCCGAACTTGGTCGCGGTGATCGAAACCGTTGGCTGGCTGGGGCTGCGCCTGATTCTGAGATTGCACTTCGTTGATGCCGCGATTCCAGTCGGCGATCTGCCTTGGAGGAGCGGGAGGCTGGGGAGGCGGGCCTCCAGTTGGAGCTGGCGCTCCCCACTGTGGAGCTGGAGGAGCGCCCACACCAGGAGCCTGGTAAGCCTGTGGATGAACGTCCTGAGGTTGAGGAGCGGGCGCAGGAGCGCTGTTCTGGTTGGAGCCTGAGAGCTGGCTTTGCAGCAGTTGCAAACGAGCCTTGATGTGAACATTCGTAGGATCAAGATCGGCGGCGCGACCATAAGCGTCAAGAGCATCCGCAATCTGGTTGTTGCAGGACTCATACTACAAGAGTGGTGGTCAGCGACATCAGTCTCTAGCGCGTTTTCTCTCAAACAAACTCCCCGCAACTTGACTTACCAGTGTTCCCAGATCGTACCACACCTCCGAAATGTAAGGATTCAGGCGGATTGCACGAGAGTAAGCGTCCAATGCATCGCGATACTGGTTGATCTGATAGTACAAAACACCAATAGAACACCAGAAAGTCGGATTGCGTCCATCACGGTAGACAGCCTGTTGATATGCTTCGTACGCCTTGGGATACTTGGCTTGCGACATGTAGCAACGACCAAGAAGGTACCAGCTTTGTGCGTCGCTGTTGTCTAGAAAAGGGCTTGTTAGCGCTTGCTCAGGGTTGAGGACATGAGCTGACAACTTACCTGCGCTAACAGATTTTTCAAGGTATTCAATGGCCTTTTCTTGACTAGCATAGCTGTTGCTTTGCTGATGGTAGAGCCAACCGAGTTGTTGAAGTACTTTTGCATGGTTAGGATCACGGTCTAGGACCCTCCTATAGGCCGCCTGAGCGGACTCAAACTGTGATGTTGTCAGCCTATATATGAGCAGCCAAATGAGAATACAAGACCACTTACGTCCTTCTGTTGCTCATGGACGTGGCCAATCTGGAACCAGATATCTTCCTCTGTAAGAGGACGAGGGGGGTCGCTGACAATGTATTTGAAGCACTGAAATTGCGGTAAGCAAAAAGAGTACATATAGAGAAGAGACCGATGAACGTACCTCTAAGCTCTGGTTGAACTTTTGTTGTTGTTTGTATATGATGCCGAGCCTGAAGTAGATTTCATTGGCCTTCTCAAAGTCGGGAGCCATCCGCATGACTTGAGAAAAAGCCTCCTCGGCATGGTCAAGAGAGCCATAGCGATCATATAAAATACCAATTCCGTACCAGAGTTTGGGTTCCTGTCGGAGCACTGCGGTTAGCCTTGTAAAGCGAAAGATTGTAGGAGGAAACACGAACCTTGGGGTCACGCAGATGATATAACGCCTGCTGGTAAGAAGTATAAGCTTCTTGCAGATTATCCATCATTAGATGGCAATGACCTGCAAGATTTGTCAGTCACCGCGATGAGACAGCAAACAAACCAAGATCTCGGGGGTGCTCCTAATTACCTAAACTACCCCAGGTTTCTCCACTCGTCGGGTCTAATTTGAGGATGTTTTGAAGGTACTCGATCGCCTTCGGAAATTGTTCCTTGGTCCGGAGGATGCACGATATGGCGTTCATAGCAGGGATTGACCATTGGTTGTGGCGAAGCGCTTGCTCATAAGCGTTCATGGCACCATCAAGATCGCCCATCAATTCAGTAAGACTACCTATAATTGCGCAAAGACGGCAAGTCAGCAAAACAGAGTTCGGAACAGAGGCGGAACACCTTCTAACGGCGACGATGACGAGTTACGTACCAATTTGAAGCCAGACCTGTTCATTAAGCGCTGCGATCTTCTGGGCAGTAGTCAGAGGAGGACCCTTCTGGACTTGAGACTGCAGCGGCATATGTCCATTGACTTGCGGGTGGGCTGCAAGATGGCCATGGTGAGGAGCTACGCCCCCAGTAGGCGACGGCTGAGTGTGAGCCATTCTGCTGGTGAAGAGACTATTCGAAATCGCAACACAAAAGGCTAAGACACTTCTGTGAGTTTGTATCCCATCAACCTTGCGACACGATGATGCAATCGATGTTCGTGTTACTGGAACGTTGCACAGCTGGCGATTTCGGTGCGATTGCGATGATCTGCGAAGTAAATGTGTTCTCTATCAGATGACTTGAAAAACTATCTCGCCAACAGGCGCGAAGAACCCCGATTTGAGGGATCTGGAGGAAGGAAATGACAGTTTCTCGGTTGAACGACGCGACCGATTGAAGGAACAAGTCCCGTCACTTTCCTTAAAGCGAAAATGGAGAATTGGCAGAAAACTCCAATGGTAAAGAGCTGCCGTACTAGGGCGCTACCAGCCGCAACAACGAGGAGAGTTGAGATGCGGCTGAGCGGCGCCAATGAGACGAGAACAGCAACGGCGAAACGGAGAGCACAGGAAGAAAGGGAGAATTGAGGTGCGGAACCAAACAGGATGAAGTAGATAAGAAGGGAATAGAGTCAGTGAGTGGGGAAAGGGATGATGCGCAGAGGAAAAAAGGCCAAAAACAAGCAAGAGGCGGGAGAAATAAGCAGAAGGGAGAAGAGAAGAAGAGAGAGAAGAGAGAGAAGAGAGAGGAGGAAAGAGGGAAAGGCCGAGGGGCTGGTGGTAAGAGGGTGAATTCTGCCAAGTCGCGCTAGTGGTTGTGTAGGTCTCGAGCAGTAGGAAGCAAAGAAAGCACAGAAAAGATGAGATGGCGGTCGTCCGGCGCCAAGCCGAAGACAGCAGCTTGACGTCCAGGAACGGTCTAGCCCGGTGGAGACAATCTGGAGTCGTGTCTGCGGGTATTTACAGTTAATATTTTCCGTGCGCCGGAAGTTGGGACGCTTGTGGTGAAAACGGCGCAGTCGTCCCAGTGCCTGTTTTCCACCCAAATTTTCCAGTACATGATTAATCAACAAAAAAGGATAAATAGTAGTAAAGAATATGTGTTACTGATAAATATTTTTCTATAGTTCCTGACGATATCTTAGAGTAACTTAAGTTCTTGACTGATGGCGTCACCCTTCTTAAGCTTTATTAAGGATTAGGCCTACAGCGTCCGGATGCTCAAAACGGAGCTGATTCTTTTTGGTTTTGTTACAAAGGTATCCCTAAATAAATCTGGTTATTCTTGAACTTATGACTCTCATTCTCTGTAGAATGGAATTAGAGGCCAAATGCTACTACTGCCTTTCTGCTGTGTGCATGTCCGACTGTCCGTCAGACAGAGTTGACAGATAGGAGGCTTGGTAGCTAGTACCGGGTTGGCAAGCGGGGCTCAGCCAGTAACACAACTAATAATAGGGTAAGCTACTCCGTACCATCCCTGTACTAAGAAATAGCAGGCTAGTAGCAACTTAGCAAGTTACATAGTGACTGACCCTGAGCACGATTCTGAAATCTGAAACAGTCGATTGAGAGGGGAATCCATCTCAAAGACCTAGACCGTCTTGAGCGCTGCAAAAGCATGAGCAGAGTGAAAAACGTAATCATCAAGTAGAAATTACATCTTTAACCGCCAACTACACCGAAGTAAGAAAGCAAAATTTTTAGAGTAGGTCATAAGTATTAATTTATGAATTTGTGGATATTTATTAGACCTTGGAGTGGTACAGGTCCCAGGGTCAGACCTCGAAGGCATGTCACTGATTTGGCGACTGCAAGCGCCAGAATCAGCGACGCACTGCCGTGATGTGGAAGGTCTAGCACGAACCCCCGGTTGTGACTCGCCGGGGGGGCTGCTGGTGGACCATGGGAGAGGGATCCACTATCTCTTCCCCGTGCCATGAAATTAGTTGTTGTACTAATTTAATTGAGTTTGCCACTTTTTACCTTTTTTCTTTTTTCCTCATTGATTTAAAATTAAAAAATTCTTAGTGCGTCATTATTACGGAGCCGCCCATGCTCTTTGGTTGGGGGCGGTGGGACCCGAACCCCGTGAATAACTGGCGAATGGTCATAAGCTCAATAGCCTAAGCTCCCGGGCAGCCCTAGTCAGGCATGCGGCGTATCTACAGAGTAGTAATAAATACTCCACTCCCTGTCCACCTGCACAATGTTGCAGAGTAGGCTTGCACCCGCCCCATCGCCCCCTCCATCAATAAAAAAATACTAACTGTAACAACAATTTGAAAAGGAAAAGGGAAAGGAAAAGAAAAAATCCTTCCCACCTTATGACTATGAGGCTAGGGGATTGGTATGCAGACTAAATACATTTATGTATTTGACAAGTTGCAGAGATCTCTGTACTACAACAGCCAAGGATGGTCCATACCTAGTGGCTAGTACCTTACCCATAGTCTACTGACCCGAGTCACAACTCACAACCCGAGTCAGGTCTCCCACAAACCTACACCGGTCAGCCCATATTTCAGGTCAAATAACAATCATAATTAATTATTATCCAGTTTGGCCGTCCTATCTTTATTTTCTACAAGAAGCACTCATAAGGCAACAAGAGTGCAATTTTTGCCATCTGTGACGCTGATCTGCGTGCAAACTTTCGTCGGTAGCTGCAGGTATGAAGGGAAAGGGGTAGAGTCGGGTAGTATTTGGGTCGAGTGTCCTATTTCGTATTTCCATCTCACCAAAATTATTCGAGGAAAGCAGTTCCTGAAGCCCATTAGTTCATTATTATACTTTCCAGGCCATCCGAGGACGGTGTTTCTCCAAACCCCCATTCCCCTTTTGCCGCTCCCGTGATTCATTGTCACCAAGCTTGCTGCAGCTCCACAGCAACCGCTTGCCTGGAAGAACCGTCAGCACCAGCCACTAAGCAGCCGACAGGGCCACAGCGCCCCAGTGCCCCAGCCACATGCCTGATGCAGTGCTGCACTTGCCGCAGATGTGCTTTCCTAGATCACTTCCGTCCACACATTCCAGATTGTGGAGCCATTCCCGGCCGAAATTCTGATCAATCGCCGGCTTCTCTTCGAGCTTTCCTAGGCCTCTGTTTCTTGATGCAGGATACATCACTTGGCTCGGCCACCAATCTCCGATCGTTATTCACTCATTCTGGGCTTTGCCCTCCCCTCTCCAAAGTACGTACACTTTTTACCCCTCAGGGGTGTTTATGGTTAGTCAATAGTGATTAAAAAGTGCCAGCTCTCCCACAATCAAAATACAGTACTCGCAGAGCAACAAGTAGACCGCTCTTTTTCTTTTTTGAAGTCAGTTTGAAGTTGATAAGTCATTCTTGATATTCCAATAGAGACTCCCTCCTTTTCGACAATTGAAAGACAGCCTTGGCCCGAACAAAGTACGGAATGTTCCAGGTTGTTTTCAATAATTCTGCGCACAAAATGGGGCGGCTGCCCTTGCTGGCGGAGAATTACCCAAAAGCAATATAGCCATAATACGAGCAAGGGATCGAGGAACAACCACGATGATCACTGCGGGCACTCCCCATGCCCCATAACTCCATACTTCATCCCTGAGACTGGCATGACGACATTTTATTGTGGTAGATCCAGGCTTTGAGGTGTCATCACAGAAGTACCATACACTGCGCTCCAAAGTCAAGATCCATGAGGATATGGGGCATCTAAGTAGGTCATGGTGGGCAGGGATTTTATGCCTATGGTCTCGCTCTACTTTTTGCATAACATTTTCGGTACGGAGTACTTGATCGGCATATGTCTGATCTGAAACATGGCGTCCAGATCAAGGCGTCAACATAAACAATGTGTGCAAGATAGACTGGCATGTGGATACTTGCACATAGTCATGTTATGATACCCCTGGAGTGACAGTCCAAGCATCTCCATTCTACTTTAATCTGTAGAAGGCAAGGCTCTATCCTAGCTTCTCCATGGCTTACCTAGGTAGGACACCAAAGAGCAATAATACAGATGAGGCAGATCTGCAATATAATGACGCCCGTTTGCGTCGATCGCCTTATGTACTACATTGTAACATACCTTGGCCACTACCTTAACACAAGGAGTAAGTAGCGGCAAGATAATAAGGTTTGAAAGAAATCAATTAACGAATAATGCCGATCAAGGTAAAGCCAACAATTGAGGGGGAGAAGAGGAGGAAAAAGACAAAGACAAAGACAAAGACAGATCGAGCTGTCAATATGATTCCTGTCCAGTTCTACAGCCTACAGGTTACACAACAGGATGCAGTGTGCAGATTGACTCGCTAGGTCTTTTTTTCCTTTTTCCCACTTTCTAGATGATACTTTTTCGGCATGCAGACAGCACAGAATCAGGAAATCTAAGGCTAATAACCTCCTCGTTGATTGGATAGCCGCCAGCCTGTTGGACGGAAGGAATCTGGCCTAGAGAGCGCCATCAATGTGCCACAGCGCCATAGTCTAGAGTCACCTTGACCGGCATTCCCTCGACTAGTATTTTGCTTATCAACTCTGGAGTAACCAAGCATACAGGTGATACCTCTAGGGTCTGACTAGAAGTAACTAGGTAGTTCCTTCGTAATACTAATCTGGGTTCCTGGACTCGATCTGTATACCGCACGGGCCAAGCGTACTTTTTACCGCTTGAGCCTTGCCGGACCACCTTGCATGGCGGCATCGGATTCAGATAGTGGTCAAGACATCTGACATCTTGCATGATGGCACTTACTTTAAGCGTATTTAGTCATTGTTCGCGCCCCTTTGTACCCCATATGTCATGAGACGCAGGCGTATATAATCCTGTGGTGTCGGATTTAATTTCTTTCGCCTAGTAGATTCTGACACTCATGTAGGTACGGCTTGACTAATCCATTATATAGTTAACTTTCTTGTCTATATACGTACAGTTACACTAGTCGTCTAAACACTAGCAACCTTTCCCTCATTCACTGCTTTAACTATACTTCTTCGATCTCGTGAGAGGTATCTGAAATGTATTCAGAATGGCGCCAATAAAAACGAAGGCAATCGAGAAAAAAGGCAGTCTTGACTCAAGCTGAGCGACTAATGGACGAATTCAGTTCTATGTGACCAATGCAGA